TTTCTATGTTTTGTAAAAACTAAAAAATTGTGTACTCATGCATCAAATTTGTAATTTCTTTTATGTCATAACTCTTTTGCAAGAATAGATTACAATTGATTTGTGATGTTAGAGTAGGGCTAAACATTATACAGTAGGTGACTTAGAAGCTAGTCGACTTAATATTTACGTCAATTTAACCTTCACCTAATCATTAAACATTGTCTTGGCATATGCCTAACTTATAAATTATTTGACATATTAATTTATTAAATTGGTAAATAAATATTTGTAAGTATTTTTTATAATAAAAATAAGAAATATGAACATATTTTATGCATAGTTATTAAAAAATTTGGACTAAGCTTAAAAAAAAAAGAAGTTATATATTTATGTTTAAAACTATTGACAATGAATTATGTTTATGAAAAAATTAGAGTAAAATTAAATGGAAAAGACAAAAATTTATAATTAAACAAAAAAATCATAATTAAATATTACAAAATAATGTCATAATTAAAAAATTAATCATAATTAATGAAAAAAATAACGTAACTAAAGATATATAATATGTGGATGTGTATAATAGAATTCTCTAAATTATTCAAGTAAGTATTACCTATTATGACTCCGCATTTTTCTTGAAAAAATTATCAATCAATGGTAATTTTTAAAAATTATTTCACATTAATAAAAAAAATTATAATTATAATTATTAATATTTGTAATATTTATCACCTTTTGATAATTTTTTTGCCTAACTATTTTTCCATTTTTCTTTTCTTAACATTTCCTTCTTTCTTTTTATTTTTTATAATATAAAAACAAATACTAACTTTTTTTGTTTCCATTTTATTAACCATGCAAGGTAAAAGACAAATTATTCTTTTATTCTCTCTTCTATTCTATTTAGGGGGATTTTTTTTAGGGTCCCTGGTATTAAGTTTTTAGAGCATAAAAAGGACATTCAATATTTTCATAATGTTTAAGGTCCTTCACACATCGATCCAAAGAAATTTCAATTCAGAGAAAATTAAAAAATTTCTCAAGTTTGCACAAATTTCTCTGGTTTGTACAAATTTATCTAATTTGCAAATTTATCTGGTTTGTACAAATTTCTTTGATTTGCAAATCTCTTCAAACTTTCATTTCAGACACTGAAACTAAAATGTTTTCATTGGAGTTCAACAAAATAGAGCTGATTGTGTGGTTGTGTTTCACGGCGGTGGTTGGGCTTTCTAGCGGTGGTAAAGATTGTGGTGGTGGTGGTAGTTATGTTGAGAGAGTGGACTTGGGTTGTTTTGCATTGTTCAACGAGCTTGAGACGACTGCGAATGGTGGTTCTCATAGGGAGAGTGTGTTGGCGAAGAAGAGTTGAGAATTTTGATATAGAAATAGGGGATTGTGGTGAGGGTTTTGATTGATCGGCATTTTGGGTTCAGAGGGCAAGGTGGTAGGTGAGACGTCTCTTTGTAAATTGCTCCACTGGTGTAGTATAAAATATGTGCTATTTTAGCAGACCATATTCTACATTGTCGGAGTGTTTTACGTTGTGTTGTGCTTCTTTAGTACTGCTACACCTAAATACTACATCAATGAAGTTGCTCTAATGTTCTTGTCATGCATCAACATGTCTTCTATGACCCTCAATCAAAGAAAAAAGGAAAAGTAACAGAAGGAACTCATGTAGTACCTTTAAGGTGTAACCACCCACGCATTAACTCATGAGCGAGAATCGCACCTGTCAGTAATCTGTATAAAATGAAGATGCGTCCATAAGAGTTCATAACATTAACCAAGGTTTGCCACTTACAAGAGTAAACAACAAAAACATCATATGGAAGTGTAGAAATGTAAAGTGTCAAACAATTATAAAACAGAGAGACAGAGGGCGTGAAAAGAGTCTTTGTTGTCTAAGCAAAGACTCTTAACTTAGTTTTTATCTTTAAAGGTTTCTTAATTCCTCTTTAAAAATTAAGTGACGACTCTTTGTTGTCTAAGCAAGTTAGTCCAATGTTTGTATGGGAAATGGGCCTTAGACTCAAAAAATACATAGCGCCCACACGTAGAAGAGGCAAATTATGGAGGTTAGGCTTGACTTTGTGACATTAAATTAATAATCAAATATAACAGCTTAGGTACCTTAATAATATTAGGTTCAAGGCCATTTGGACCCAATGAGGTAAAGGGAGCCATGAATGGTGCTGGTTTACTACCCAAAATAGTAGTTCCTGGGATTAATGTTGCCGTTGGATTCACATTAGTCCTTGTGTAATTGACAATTGTAGCTATGTCATTCAGTCCTACTGTTGTTCCTGTAAGTAATTGAGCTCCAAGGGGCATACCACTGTCACTCCCGTAGATGTTTACTAGGACGATACCTACACCTCCTACTCTTTTCACCTCCATAGCACTCTGGACATTGAATCCCAAACAGACAACAATCTTTCCTTTTACAAGCTTTGGTGAAAGGGTACCGGGGAGGCAATTTCTGAAAAATTCAATCAAATATTTGATATCAAGCCATTAGTATGTATACCCCCAAAACAAAGAAAGTGAACACAAAAATGAGAATGGTCACTCCAATAAAGAAAGATTATTTCTAAAGTTTTTTTCTTCAACATTTTCAGAAATTTGGCAATAAATTATTATTCCTAGCTTTTTTAACAAACTCTGTAATTTGTACTATAATTCTCAGTGTTTTCTTAAACAAGAAGAAAAGCTTCACAAATTTGGCAACAAAATAATATCATTTTGGTGAAGGATGTCAGATAATCATCAATAATTAGATTTTAATGTTTTCTTTTTCTTGGTATTTACTGAAACTCTGCAAATTATATCCTCCCTGCGAGTTTTGGGGAAACTCTATTCTTTTAGAAAACAAAACAATATTGTTTCCTTCCAATTGCTTGCATGAAAGGTACCAAGTAGACACTGTCTGGAAGATCCAATCATATATTTAAGATCAAGTCATGAGATATTAAAACAAAAAACAAAACAAAACAAAAAATTGAATATAGAAATGTGAATGATTAGTAAAGTTTAGTACCCAGTTATATTCGGGGTTGTTCCTGGGAGTTCTGCATCTTGTGCATAAACTAGGTGGTGCATCCTTCTTAGTTTAAGCGGAGTGACTGTCTGTCCCTGTTTATTAAGAAAGTAGCCAAAATGAAAAAAGAAAATTTGTAGATAAAATTTTTGTAAATTTTGGGGATCAATTTGACTAAATTAAAAGATTGCAGACTAAAGCAACAAAACACGTTTTTTCAAGGTTATTGGTCTAATTTGTCATTAGTAAATGAAGGCTTGGCCTAGGTAAAAAATAATAGTGCCATATGTATGTGTGTGTCTGTATATATGTATGGCCCAATATACAGTCAAGGATCTTTTCTCTTAGAGGATTCCCAAATCTCATTTTCCTTTCCCAATGCAATCCCAATCGTTTGATTATGCCTTGAGGATTCCATAATCTTGAGATTTTCACATATAGATATAATGGTTGAAAGTGCTTTGAGATAAGGCAATGTAATGATCTAGGAACAGAGGATCTAATGTCATATATATATATATATATTGTGTGTAAAATTCCATAAGTCAAGTCTTTATCCCATAAACAATGGCTCTTGAGGTATCGATTGTTAAAAGCACTATTATATATATTTTACTCCTTAATCATATCTATGATGAACTTGGTAACTTAGTGGCATAAAATGGTCTGAACTCATTCCCCTTTTTCCACAAGTAATCATTAATTATTTGTTAGAATGAGCAAATGGGAGGAATTCCATTCCAACTGCTGACAAAGATAAATATATACTCAGATTAAAAAACAATTAGAACTTGAACATATATATACAGGAACTATTAATATATATATTCTAAAATGACTTTTAGACTTTAGACATCATAGGATGATTCTTGTAATTAACCTAATCGATTTCTCTAGTTTTTAAGTTAATAGATCTGTTGTTGGGTGTGAATTCTCTGGTTTTGGAGAGTAAACAAAACTTACTTTCATTGGAACTAAGTACTAGTGCCCAAAGCTGGAACTTTTCATCCCAAATCCTAATAATAACAAGCAGTTTTTATTCCTTTAATCTTTTAAACTTATAGTTATGTTTGATTATCAGATGAGGTTGACTAGGATAATCAAGTGTAGAAGCAACATCAACGGCAATATTTAACCTTTGTAGGAGGTTTAAATTTCTTGATTCGACATGCACCTCATCTTCATTTTCATTTGCATGTAACCAATTATCTGGGCTACCATTGACCATGAACTCGTAAACCAGAGCTTTGAAATCATTACCATTATAGTCAACACTTGAACATGCTGTGAAAACCTTGACAAGATTTCGATGTCTGATGCGCCTCAAGGCCTCACACTCAGCAACAAAACTCTTGAAAGCTCCACGGAATTGAAGGTTTAGTACCTTCACTGCAACAATTTTTTCACCGTGATCAAGAATTCCTTTGTAGACTGAACCAAAACTACCCATGCCTATCATGTTGGCTGGAGAGAACCCATCAGTTGCCTTGAGTAGACTTTGGTAGGACAATTTCACATATGACTTCCATAAAAATCTCAAAGAGGGTACTTTTGTTGTCTTTCTAAAGCAACAAAGATACAGTAAACACAACACTATTACTAGTCCCAGAAGCCCAAACAATGTGGGGATTATTATTTTCAAGATGAGTGTAAATATTTTCCTTTTGAATCCCTTGGTATTGCAACTGTGCAAATGTATTTTAGGTTTACCACCACAAAGCTTGTTGTTTCCCCTAATAGATATAGCTGTTGCATTTTTAAATATGCCTATTTCTGGTACCGCATCCTCGAAATCATTGAATGATAGATCTAATTTTTGTAAGAAGACAAAGCCCTCTGAATAGTTTAGGATTTTTCCTGAGAAATTATTGTGAGAAAGATCTAAGTCCTCAATACCTCTCAAATAACTTAAAGATGAAGGAAGAGTTCCCCAAAAATTATTGCTCTGTATATATAGAAATCTCAATTTTACACAACTACCAAGAGTGCTTGGAATTTTTCCAGACAACATATTCCTTGAAACATCTAATTGTTCATGATTTATTAAATTCCCAATTTCTAGTTGTATGGACCAAACCAAATGGTTGTCATGTAGGTACAAGTTCAATAACGATGAGAGAGTTTGAACTTGTTTGGGTATGGTACCACTAAGATTGTTTCCACCAAGAGCTAGATCTACAAGTGGGCATTTTCCTAGACTTGGAGGAATGTTGCCATGCAAATTATTTACTCCTAAATAAAGATACTCTTGTGAAGTCAAATTTTTCAAAGACAATGGAGTTTTCCCATAGAATTTATTATCTGAGAGATCCAAAATTAGTAGCTTTTGTAGCTTCCCAATATCAGCAAGAATGTTACCGATGAAATGATTGTCTGACATGTCCAAAGCCCGCAAATTGACCAAATTCGCCATCTCAGTTGGGATGCTCCCACCTATTTTATTGTTATCCAAAAAAAGGATACCAAGATTAGTGGACAAATTGCCAATTGATTCTGGAAACACCCCTCCAAAATTGTCGGAGCCCATCCTCGAAAAGTTCAAATTGGTGGCATTGGGCAATGAGCTAAGAAAATTCAAGTCACCAGCTTCCCCTGTTCGAAGATGATTTTGTTGAAAGTTTAACCGCCCAAGATTGTGCATCATTCTCAAAGGAGGCACTCTTCCAATAAATTTATTCCGTCCTAAGTCAAGGTGATGCAGGTTGGTTGCATTTGATATTGAAATAGGAATGGATCCAGTAAACAAGTTAATTTCAATTGAAAACCATTGAAGAGTTGGAAAAGAAATTCCAAGATCTAAGGGAAGTCTCCCTTGAACTTGGTTAATTGATATATCAAAAGTTGTGATGGAAGAGAGATTAAAGATTGAGGAAGGAATATTACCAACCAACTTGTTCTCACCTAATCCAAGAAAGTTCAAGTTTGTCAATCGGACCAGGGCTTCAGGTACACTGCCATTGATATTATTGACACTTGCATCGAATTCAATAAAGGATAACAGATTCCCCTTTGCCTTTGTTTGAAAGGTGGAGCTTCTCAACATCTCCATTTTGATCCGAGTAGACTTTAGTTTCGGTGTCTTTGAAGTTCCATCCTTGTTGTGCTCATCTTCTCTTCTTGAGGTAGAGATTTTCTTCGCTCTCATATGGTTTTTAGCTTAGTTATTTGTCATTGTGTAACAATGGTGGGATTTGGGGGTAGTTCGGACAAACTTAGGGTTTGGATGAAATGAAAAGAGGGGTTTTTGGTGAAGATGAAATAAACGAACATGGGGTTTGAAAATGATGTCATGTTGTGTCAAAATGGTTGATTTTGGCACTTGGATTGATATTTTGAAAAGGGGATTTTTTTTCCCTAAAATGATTATCATATTTATTTTGTATAAATAGTTAAAATTAGTGTTGTAAACATGGAATTGAGCGAGTATTGAAATAGATGGTGGAATTGAGTATGTAATACTTCACACCTTTGGAAATTTTGAATAAATTACATGTCTTGAGATTGTATATCTGTTTAGAAATATCTATATTGGGCTATTGGTGGAGGATAGCTTTGATTGTTGTAGAAATTACATGTGGATTAGGTGAATTGAAACTAATCTTTTGTCGGTTGTCATTGAATTTGACTATCTTGATATACATTGTGTATGTATGATTATTTGTCAGGAGAAAGGGGATGTACTCTATGTATGATTATGTGTTTAAATACATTGTATATGTATGATTGTTTGGGAGGAAAAAGGGGATGTACTCCATTGTTTGGGAGGAGAAAGGGGATGGACTCCATTATAAATAAGTTGGTCGACTGGGTGAAAGTCCCGAAATTTATACATGGGTGCCGATCTCGCAGACGAAATATTCGTAAAATGGTAGTTTGAAGTGTTTGTGTGTTGATTGTGGAATTGTAGAACCATTGAGTTGTAATCTCATTTGGTTATGAAAGAAATAATGAAATTGACTCATGAATTGAGAGGAATAAATGAACCAGAAGTGAATTGAAGGAAAATGGATCAAGAATCGGATTTGGTATCTTATGAATATATAAATCATGAATGCTATACCACAAGCATTGTAAATGCACATCGTACTTATATCTCTGCTAAACCTCATATATTGTGTTAGATTATTCCTGTTGGGCTGTGGCTCACCCTATTTGGGAAAAACATTTTCAAGTATTGATGGCATGCCTCCACCAAGGTAATAGCATTGGTGGGACTTTTGGGAAGCAAGGGCTTCCTTGTTTTGCTTCATTTTTGTATAGCCTAGGGCTTTAATTGTATGAGCTAGTCTCTCTTTTGTTGTAACCAAGCAAAGACTTGGAAAGATATAAGCCTATAGGGTATTTATTTATGTTAAACCTTTTGTACTATTTATGTTATGAAATGAAAGAACATTATACTCTGATTTATGCTGTTATTTATATATGTTTTTTGGTTATAATTATTGTGTACTTTTGGGGGTGTTACAAGGTGTGTCTAAAAATTAAAAAAATTGCCTAAAATATTTTAAAAAATCATTGAAAATATTAAAATACGGAAAATAAAAAAAATAGGATTTTCTAAAAATTATTTTTTGAAAACCAAAACCAAAACCAAATAGGCTGATAGGTCTCATGGTTTAAATCAATAATAATTTTTCATGGCGAAGGCATCAACCAAATGTACTACTGATAAGGGTGTAAATTTAGGCCGGCCCAACCCATGTAGGGCCTCGCGGGCTCCCACCAAAATTCGGGCCGGACCACAGGTCAAAAAATTAGGCCTAGGCCCAGGGGATATTTGCGCCTTGGGCGGCTCGGTGGACTGGGCCTCAGGCCGGCTCGATGAGCCTAGGCCTGGCCTCGGTATTGGGCCGGGCTTGGGCGAGTGTAACGCCCTCAAAATAATAACCTTAAACCCATCAATATAAACATACATTTATATACAAAAGATCCACATTTCCTCAATTCATCAGAGTACTTCATTACAAAAGTATTACATGTTAACAACAAAGGTAAATGCCCTACGGGCTTACAGCTTTCCAAGTCAACACTTGCTTACAAAAGAGAGTATTGACTCGGTTACACATTAAGCCCTTGGCTTGAATTTACATGTAATACATCAAAAGGAAAATAAGGCGACAAAAGTAAGTTTGCCCCTAGCCTCCCAAGCTATGTCCTCAGAAGTGGCATGCTACCTGCACCTGTAAATGATGTTCCCATAAAGGGTGAGCCACAGCCCAGTAGGAATATACTAAACCGACTATGAACAATACCTAAAAGATTAGCAACTGATAGGGTCAATACTTACACTTCCATTTACATCTTATTACAATTCCATGACAACCAAGTCTATGTTACAATTCACTTTTCATTTCTTGTTCAACTTTGGGTTTGAAAACAGGGCTCAGTACTCTTACCAAAACATTTTGATGAGATTATAGTTCATCACTAGAACATTTTCAAAATTTGAAGGTGGATACACATTTTGGTGTTGTATCAATAACACATAAACTACGTCCATACTTCACAAACGATGATGATATACATTTTGGTGCTATATCAAATCAAACAAACTTTTCAATAGATAAGCATATGAACTATATCACTACTACAACAGATAAGCATATGAGCTATATCAATATTACAACAGATAAGCGTATGAGCTATATCAATATTACAACAGATAAGCATATGAGCTATATCAATATTACAACAGATAAGCATATGAGCTATATCAATACTACAACAGATAAGCATATGAGCTATATCTACACTTCACTAGACAAGCATATGAGCTATATCTACACTTCACTAGACAAGCATATGATACTACAACAGATAAGCATATGAGCTATATCTACACTTCACTAGACAAGCATATGAGCTATAGCTACACTTCACTAGACAAGCATATGAGCTATATCTACACTTCACAAAGATAAGCATATGAGCTGTATCTTCACTTCTCTAGACAATCATATGAGCTGTATCTACGGAGTTCATCCCCCATCTCCTCCCAATCCTATCCGGTTTAGAGGTACATCCCCCATCTTCCCCTAAATCGCGGAGTACATCTCCCATCTCCTCCTCTACACAAGCAATGCATATAAACACAGAGTCATATACACAATCGATCAATACATAAAGTTAATGTATTCTACCAACCATCTACACATGATGCATATAAACACATTGGTCATATACACAATCACTCAAAACATAAAGTTAATGTATTCTATCAACCGTCATCCTCTATGACACATCCGATTGATTAGTTTTAGAGTGCCTAATCATCATGCATTGTCTACAACAATCAACACTACCCTCCACCGGTAGCCCAAAGCAATTACTTCTAAGCAGGAAATAAATGCACAAATGGATAATATATCAACATTTCAACTAGATGAGCAATAAAAGATTCGTCTACACTCTTTAATCCCATACATTTCCAATTTCAACATTCTCAATTCAATTCCTCGCTTTCTTCAATTAATTATATGCATTAATTAATTAAACCGATTAAGGCAAATTACCATAATTCACAAAACAACCCTAAGGTTCCATCTCCATCAATGTCCCAACATTAATCTCATTTCTCTATGCCTAACATGCATATAGGTTTATATATTTAAAACCTCAACTTTTGTAACATTACACAAAGGCCCAAACTTTCTCGAAACTACCCAACAACCCCCAACATATCAAAATGCTAAAATTCAAAGACAAAGCTCATAAGATGGAGTAGGTTATCCCTACCTCGAATGATGGGATGCAACGAAGAAGATGAAGAAACGGAAATGCTCCAAATCCCGAAATTTTCAGATTAGAAGATAGCCCTCGACGATCAACACAACTTTTGTAAAGGCCCAAGGTGAGAAAAAAACTCCTACTAGATCAATCCTAAGAGAGAAGTTAGGGTTTTAGTGAGAGGAGCTCTCAAAATAGCTTTTTGGAAAAGTAAGAGAGAGAAAGGATGTTGAAAAAGTGAACAAAAAGTCGGATCTCGGCTTTATATAAAAGTCGCCCCGCTCGAGCGTCCAAACCCCCTTTTTTTGGTCGAACATTTGTACGATGTTCGATTGTAGTTGGTCGAACAAATATAAATTGTCCAGTTGTAATAAGTCGAGCGATGATATAATATCCACCTCTGGTTAACCGAACTGTACCAACTATTTACCACTCAGCAAGTAGACGAAAACGAAAACGAAAACAAAAACAACAAAAAAAATAACCTCTTCTTTGCTCCATTGTTGCGAATCAAAGTTGCCGGATGCATCCTTAATTGAATCCATTCAAAATCTTCAATAATACTATATTTTTCATTATTTGTTGAAGAGTTTTTGGTTTTGGTTTTAGAGTTTTTGTATTCTTGACAAAGAAGATACGTAAGGAACAAGTTTGAAATTAATGATTTATATTATATTCATTCTTGTCCTTTATGGTAAATACACAAATGGTGTGTATCATAACTTGTCCTCTATAGTCATTTCACTTAAGGTTAAAATTATAAAAAAAAAAAAAAGAATTAATTAATGGTTTGCCTTGAGAGAAAAGGTGGTGTGTAAATAGAGCCACCCTGGTTACACAAAATGGTCTCTCGGACCCATACCAAATTAGCCCTAGGCTTAACAAGAATTACAACAAAAGAAAGAGTAATCTACTCTTCACCAAAACATATCCACACCCTTAGCTCGGCGGGATCACAACATCTTTACCTACACCAAAACCCATAGGGGTGAGCATAAGCCCAGTAGAGGAACCTTAACAAAGTATATACATTTATGCAAGATTCTTAACATTTAATGTAAATGCAAATGTTATGCCATGCCATTTCAAAATAATCTCATGTCATGCTTTTCTTGATAATCACCAAGTTTTTCAATGAACATTTTCCAATCTCATCAATTTCCCAACCACAAGTTTTAAATCATAAGGGGCGGTAAATATGACACTGGTAATCCCTAGGCTGGTGTCTGCAAGTAGACTCTACAAGTACTACCAAACTGTCATTTTTACCAGTATTAATCGGAAGGCTCGAAACCTATCTGAGCGGTTTTCTGGTCTTTCACC